TGTAGAAACACAAGTGTAGAGGACTTTCGAAACGTCATCCTGTACACATGTGTCTCTACAACAGGCAGTTGTTGTCCATTCTACAAAGTTTCAACAATATTTATGCTTTGATAGATTGTTTAGGCAAAGTATTCATGAAGAAACTTTATAGAATGGACGACAACTGCCTGTTGTAGAAACACAAGTGTAGAGGACTTTCGAAACGTCATCCTGTACACATGTGTCTCTACAACAGGCAGTTGTCGTCCATTCTACAAAGTTTCAACAATATTTATGCTTTGATAGATTGTTTAGGCAAAGTATTCATGAAGAAACTTTATAGAAGGGACGACAACTGCCTGTTGTAGAAACACAAGTGTAGAGGACTTTCGAAACGTCATCCTGTACACATGTGTCTCTACAACAGGCAGTTGTCGTCCATTCTACAAAGTTTCAACAATATTTATGCTTTGATAGATTGTTTAGGCAGAGTATTGATGAAGAAACTTTATAGAATGGACGACAACTGCCTGTTGTAGAAACACAAGTGTAGAGGACTTTCGAAACGTCATCCTGTACACATGTCTCTCTACAACAGGCAGTTGTCGTCCATTCTCCAAAGTTTCAACAATATTTATGTCCATAGATAACCTCTCGACCACGTGTGTCAGTTTAACATAATTCAATGTTGAGCATATCTATTAAACTGTAATATGTAGCTAAATACGAAAATGTTTAGTGCAATTTAGAGAGAAAATATTTGAAGTAAAGATGAATTAATTTTTGAAATTATAAAAATCATTTGTACATATTTCCACATCCGACTTCAGTTTCCCGACAACATTATTTAAACGATTATTTAAATTCAAATAACAATGCTTGCAAGAAAAATATATCAGTGTGGTAGATGGCTACAGTATTTTTATTCAGAAGACAGATTGAAGAAACATCAAGAAGACTGTTAAACAGAGGAATCTGTGAAGATTATAATGCCTTTTAGAGATTCAGCTATAAAATGTAAAAATATTAATAATTCACTAAAATTTCCTTTTGTTATAAATGCTGTTTTTGAAAAATTGATACCTGTTATCCAGATCCCTCTATAAATTATACAAATGCTTACAGAAAACATGAACCTATAAGTTTTGTTATTATTGTTATTACGTGCATGGACATTATACTAGCTTATAGCTGGATTCATGGAAATACTTAAAGGAGAAATTGAAGAAATATAAAAGTTATATGGTAATATGAAGAAAAATGGATCTTTTAACTGCAGAATAATTAAAAAATAATGATATTTGTCATATCTGTGATAAGCCAATAGGTGATGAAAAGAAAGTTCACGACATTGATCATATAACTAGAAAATATAGAGGACCGGCTCATAATAGCTGTAATTTGTTGTAGAGAAATCCTTAATTCATCCCACTGTTTATTCATAATATGACTGGATATAATAGTCACCTGTTTATTATTGAATTAGGTGGGAATAATAAAAATATTAAAATAATTCCAAACATCGAAGAAAAATATATTTAATTTAGTAAAAAAATGATAACATTAAATATATTTTTCTTTAATTGTTTATTTTATCGGTATACTTAAAATCAGAATTATTGAGCATGGGCCAGTAGTTAACGTGCTTGACTATGGCTCTGGGAGTCCAACGTTTGTATCTCGTTACCGTCCAAAATAACTGATGCCCCGTACTTTGAGGCATTGCGTGTGTTATAATAGTAATGATAAAATCTAATATTCGACAAGTGACGTCCTATAGTCTGACAGTTTAGCGGTAGGATCTGCTAGCGCAGATAGCCTTTAAGTAGTTTTACACTTATGACCGAAAATAAAATTAAAAACAAATAACCAGAAATGTTTAAAACAAAGATCGGGAAAGGTCTTAAAAGGTCAGTACTACTGATATGAAACTTCCAGGACAATTTTAACACTTCATTTATAAGGTCCTACCATAATTCAACAAATCTAGGAGAGATGATTTTTTTCTTATCATCATATAATTAACAGAAGTGTACTCAAAGAACAATCATAAAATACATTTTTAAACTGTTAATTTCATCAGTATGTCCATAATTATAGTGTTGAGTGTGGCCTCTTGGTTAACGTGAGTTTAGCTTTCGCGTCTTTTTATAATTCAGTATAGAATTGATGCTCCGAACTTTCAAGCATTGAGTTTGTAATAATGATGATGAAATCCACTATTCAATCAGACAAAAGTAGTCCTTTAGTCAAACAATCCAACGTTAGGGACAGGTAGAGCAAAAAACAACAAGGTTGTATTGTTGTTACAGTTTTTTTAAAGTATTGTTTACTCTGGATAATGGCAGATTACTGAAGTAAAATCCTTAGAATTAGCAATACGAACTCTAGTGTTTATTGAAATATAATATCTTAAAATATATATCAATATTTCTTTGTGTTTGAGAATTTATTCTTAAAATTAATGTTGTGTGTTGCGAAATTGGCAATTAAAACAACATCTTTCCTGTAAACAGTTCTGATTTCTGATGATTTTTATGTTTTTTTATTGGGAGGGGGGATACGGGCAAAGCTACTCAAAGGTTATCATTGGATGAGAGCAGATATTAACAAAATATAACGTTTAGAAAATATGTATAAAAAAGGTAATATCAACAATATTAAACATTGTAATTAATAACAAGCTATTTATTAATAATATTTCACTCTAAAATACATTTATATAAAAAATGTGATTAATATATAATTGATTAAACATTACTATCAATATCAAATGAAATTCACACGAATTATAGAAAATTATGTTTGATGGTTTGAGTTAGATTATTATTATTTTGTTGTTGTTGAATATTGCACTGAACTGCTCGAAGGTTATTCCACTAGCCGTCCCTAATCTTGAAATGATAGACAAGAGGGAAAGAAGGTAGTCAACACTACCCACAACCAAATGTTGGGGTACTCTAATTAAGTAGAGAGATTTACCCGTCACTCTAAGAAAGTACCCACGGTCAAAATGTGCGGAGTACGATATTTTTTGTGGCAGTAACAAGGTGCGAACCACAAAATTACTGATTTACAGTTCTGAATGTTTTACCAATAGGCTGTACTCGGCCTTCTTAGCAATATTTAAAAGAACAATGAAAACAAAAATTTTGAACATTAGATAAACGAGCTTTTTTTTTTTAACCAAATATTAATTTTATTTTTATATATTTGTAAAAAAAGTAGCTCAAAGATCGAATGAGAAAACGTTCTTTCAACAAAGAAAAGTTTAGATTTATCAAATAGATCTGAATATTAAAACTACAGACGATGAGATTTGTTAAAACTATCTTAAGTAGAGATCCCTTATATAGATTATTTTACAAAAACACATCTATTAATTAGAGATTGATATGTAATTTCAACTGTGAAAAATGCATCGTATGTTAACCAACAAATAATACACTAAAACTTACGATATGTAGGGAACTTACACGTGGAAATAATGGATAGAAATATTAACGAAATTTATTTAACTAAAAGTGTACTGTAGTTTGATGGCGAGACAGTTTACAAACACAATACAACTCGAGATAGTTGTTAAACAGGTAGAAGTGGTTTTGTCATCCGTCACAACAAATATCGTGTAAACTTTTCATTAACTCTGTCAATTATGACAGGTTTCGAAACTTTTACAAGGCCATATAAAACTGACAAAACTATCTCCTAACAAACAAAACCCACTTTGTGTTAACAGTCGACACGTTTAGTTACTACAGCTACTCTCTCTACATGAGTATTGGTTGTCACAGCAGGTGTTCATATAGAAAGTTAAATAACTGTTCTACATTCATGGAATATCACAAACTCAGTGATAACCCGTCATGCAAATCTGCCATCAAGACCTGTAGGATGTTTACATTCTATAGAAATTCACGTCTCACAATGTTTGAAGTGGACAGCTGTGAACTGATCATCGGAGTAGCTCTGGTGACTATAAAAGGTAACAACACCCAAGTTATCATTCGTAGCCCACAATTCAGTACAGACACGACATTAACTAAGATCAGAATGAAAGTTCTTGTTGCAGTACTCCTGGTTGTTGTTGTTGTAGTATATGTTTCAGGCCACGGCCCTCACCATAAAATGCATGAAATGCTCTGCGGTAAGGTATAAATTTATTATGTAAAATATCTATACTGAAATAAACATCTAAAGACTGTATTTTGGTAATTTAAAAGTTATCTATTTGTACCATTCTCTAAAATAGTATTCTGTAATATTTCTCAGATTTTTTCAACTGTGATAATAGTTTATTATGCAAGAAATAAAAACACATCTTCCAAAATTACTTTCGTTACCTTACACTTATAATCAGAGTTGTAACTTAAAACAAGTTTCGTTAATACTTTTCTTTTCTAAGCTGTAATATTTTATTCTAACAGATAATTTAAGACGTTTATATTTTTGCAAATGATATCAACTATTTTAATCCAAATAAACAGAATAGTAATGCGTATTTTTAACAGAAAGTAACGATGAAAATGTCAAGACTGCTTTGAAAGATTGTTGGCAGAAAGCTACTGAGGTGAGTCGAGTGATAAAATTCTGGAAACCAAAAATTAAAATTTCACTACTGGGTTTTAAAAAGGATCCAAATAAAATTACAAATATCCTAGAATTCACATTTTCAGTCTCAGTTTGCTGTTTATTATAACCAATATTTCGCTGCAAGAACAATAGATAAATAGGTACTATAAGGTTGTTCTTTAGTAAACCACGAAACTAAAAACTGTCAGATTTATGTAGGAAACGTTATAGCGTGTCATTTTTGAGCCTAGTCTGAGTGGAAGCTTTTATTAAGTAATAGATATGTTCTAGGCTGTCTTAAGAACTAGAGCCAGAGTTGTTTAAAAAAAGTAAAAGAAGTAATTTTGTATATTTATTTAATTACTCTGTAATATTCATATTTCAGTTTGTAAAAATGTTGAAGTTCCACCTAACACACATTGTTATTATACTGTACAATATTTACTATAATTGATATAAAATCCAATGATAATTACTAAATATCCACAGAATCAGTTTGTGTTAATTTTGTGTATTGTTAAATTCATATAAAATTTACTATTTTTATCATTTTCTAGTTTAACAATAAATTCGAACAATGCAAGACAACACTGAGTGCTATTTCAGATGAGGATCTGTGTACAAAATGGGATGAAGTAAGTATTGTATGATAGTGTTAACAATTAGTGTTAGCTTTCTCTACATTACAGTGACATGTGTATATTGAATCAGTTAGTATTAGGAATAGATTTTTTAATCAGCCAGTGTATAATAATGTTAAAAATTAGAAACTTTTTCTTCCTGTCTTCTCTGCAATTGGTTCTCTAAGATAGAAAGGTATTTTTACTATTAATGTTGTGATCATTGTCACTTTTAGAGACAAAACGCTATACTCAGAACATATATATGTTTAATTAATGTCCTGTTTATTAAGGTAAACAATGTATTTTTACTATTAATGTTGTGATCATTGTCACTTTTAGAGACAAAACGCTATACTCAGAACATATATATATGTTTAATTAATGTCCTGTTTATTAAGGTAAACAATGTATTTTTACTATTAATGTTGTGATCATTGTCACTTTTAGAGACAAAACGTTGTACTT